GAAAGAAATAGAACAAAAATGACACATGTCGATGATAGAAAGATAAGAAGAGTAAAGCCCAAACTTTACGGGACATCAACACTAGCAATGATTGACTTTGTAAACTTGGCACTTGGCTTTTAATCAATTATGTTTTTAAGAAAAGTTAGTATTTTGTTTTTAGTTGTTCGTAATAACACAATTTTGTTTGCAATTATTTAGTTGCAACCATTAACAAAATATTTTGAAAAAATAGCCGTCATCTGATTTTGCTATAAAAAAAAAATCACTGGTATATTCTTGATTCAGAATTATTTATTCAGATTTATTTGTAGTGATTTTCCTATTATTTGTAGTTAAACCATTTAAAAATTACAACAAATTAATACAATATGTCAAAATTGTAATTTTATCAATTTTCATAATATTGCAAATCCGCATGCAATATATTTTTTAGAATTGCTTGTAATTATTTAGAGATTTTTCTCGCTATTTGTTGTCGAATCAGTTAAAAGTTACGTATTAATAATTAATGTTATAATATATTATAATATTTAATTTTTTAATGTGAAAATAAACTTAGATTGAAAATAATTATGATATAAAAATAATAAAAAGTAAACACATGCAACAAAGTTATTAAAAAAAATTATTCCAGATAAAACAAAAAATTTTTCTTTTCATAACGAACAAAAATAAACTTTTTGTTATATAGTCGGATTATTGGAAATCCTTATCTGACATATTTACGTAATATTGTCAATATTTAGTATTGTTCTCTCAGCTTTATTTTAATACCTATATTAATATTTTTTTCCTTTTCATACGCGGTTTTAGCTTTCAACATAAAATAAACGAGTATGTTTTTTTTCTTTTAAGAGTGGACAGTTAGTAATGAGACGTAGTTTTTTATCCATAGAAAGATCATGCATTTCCTATTTATTGTTTCATTAGTGTATGCAATGTCCAATTCTATTACCTGAAATATGTATTATTGTATCAACAAGTTTGTATCTAATTTTACAAACATATATTTCAATTGGTGGCTGAATAATCGATATTAGTTGTATATTTTGAATTTGCAATATTATTTATCGCATATTATTTATAATCTTAAGTTATTATGTTAATATCTGTATTTTAAACGGTTCAACTACAAATAACAGGAAAAACACTACGAATAATTCTAAAAAAATATACTGATTTGAAATATCTTGAAAATTAACAAAACTATGTTATGTATTACAACTATGCTATGTAACTATGCTATGTATTACAATTTTACTATTATTAATTTATTGTAACACTTAACTAGTTCAAGTACAATGACAAAAAAATCACCACAAACGATTCTAAATTTACCAGTGATCTTTTCACAACAAAGTCAAGTAATGATAATTTTTTCAAAATGTTTATTTATTAATGATTACAAACGACAAACAAAAGTGTTATTATTAGAAACAGTTATAAAATACTGACACATTCTTTTTTATTGAAAACTCACTTTATTAAAAGTTGAGTGCCAAGTTCACAAAGGTCAATGACTATTCGGCTATTTGTGGATCGAAGATACTTCGTTTCGCACTCAATACCCTCTCGTAACAACACCTCCCCCTCGAATTTCCGACCATTTCAAGAATTCATTGTCCGATCGCTGCCGAAACCTACAAGCACCCTTCATTAAAAACGGGGAAGGAGAAAGAGAAGAGAAAGTGAGAAAGAGAGAGAGAGAGAGAGAGAGAGAGAGAGAGAGAGAGAGAGAGAGAGAGAGAGAGAGAGAGAGAGAGAGAGAGAGAGAG